AGTATGTAAGATTTTATTTTTACATACTTCAAAGAATTTTTTTTCATTATAATAACAAATTTGACAATAATTAATTAAATCAATTTTTACTAATAAATTTTGGTTTATTACTAGTATTGATTATAATATTTATAAATTTAATTATATATTTCATACGTAATAAACCAAAATCGAGATTTTGCTATTGTTTTTAATATATCAAGTTATCCACGTTGATCAATCGTATTTATCTCGAATTTGATTTCGAAGATCTTTTTCGTGTTTCAATGTAATTCAACTTTTGTCTTCCCAAAATTTGTTTTTAAATTTTGGGTTAATAGTAAATCCTAGTATAATTAATTATTGTGATAATAGTATGAGTTTAAGTATATTTATTAATTTCAGAAATTAAATTAAATTACAAAAAAACAAACTCACAAAAAAATTAAAATAAACTATATTCCAAAAATTAGTACAATCTAGTATACTATCTATTACTTATTAACTTTCAGTCATTAAAGAGAACTAAAAAATAAAAAAGAATGACGTAAGAATAATCAGTTCTTAGTTTCGAGTAAATGAATCTTTTCGACTCTTGGGACGTGGTGTTCACCATCGAAATTTGTAGCTAAGAAAGTATCGACCATATCAAGAGCGACATCGACGCCGATAACTCTTGCGCCAAAAGCGATGATATTGGCGTCGTTATGTCTTCTACACATTGTAGCGGTATAGTGGTCGTGGCAAAGAGCACATCGAACTCCATCGATTTTGTTAGCCGCTATAGAAATGCCAATACCACTTCCACACACTAATATACCTTTCTTCCCAGTAGCTACAACAGCACGACCAACTTTCTCAGCATAGTCCGGATAATCACAACGGTCTGCTGTGTATGTTCCTTTGTCGTCGACTTTGTACCCCTTCTTCTCTAAGTATTTGCGGACTTCCTCTTTGAGTGGAAAACCGGCGTGGTCACTTCCTATTATTACTTCAAGAGCCATTAAACTTTGATTTTCAAAGTTCTTTTTCTATTTATTTGAAAAGAAAAGATGTTCCACACACTTCTGTAATACAAAACAAGTGACGAGTTCAAGAAAGCAAAGTACTAGTCAATTCATAAATCAATCACTTATGCTTGTGCGGCTTCATAGGAAGACCTGTCTTCCTCGAAATTTCGGTCTGAATCTCAAGTCTGCTTGAAGAATTCGTCACCTTCGGGCAGTCACGGGCAAGGTGTTCGGTACTCCCACAAATGAAACACTTTTTGACTTCATCATTGTCGCTTTTTAAAACACTATTCTTCACTCTGTTGATCTCTTCCTCGTCTTTGATCCCGAGCGCAGCAAATTCCTCCATCGTGAGCTGCGGGCGGATGTACCCTCGGGGCCCCTTTTTGTGTTTTTTCGTTTGTGTTTTGTTTGGCTTTTCTTCCGAACTCTCTTCGCTCGACACACCCTCTTCTACGCTCGCTTCTGTGTTCTCATCAGAATTGTCCTCTTGCAATTCTGAACTCGTTGACTTCTCCTCCTCACTGCTCATTCTGTTTTTCGTGTGCCACAAACCCTAATGCAACCCTTGTTTATTAATTTTCTGGTGTTGTCACTGTTGTATTTGTTGTTGTTGTGATTACTGCAGTAAGGTGTAATCACACACTTGTCAGTAGTCTTGGCCAGACTTACTTTTTGACTTAAAAACCGCGCTTAAGTGTCCATTCGTTCCACCCATTTAATCTTAAGTTTTTATTTTTCGTACTGTCGGAATGAAATTGCGTTTAAGCGAAAAAAATTGGGTAATAATAGTGTTAAAGACTTAAAAAATAGCATTCATTTATTCATTAATCGGATGGGTTGGGACGTCTTGGAGCGCGTGGGCCACGTGCAAGGGACCTTTCTTTGTCTTTCATTTCGTATTTGCTTCTCATTTCCTTCTTCTTGGGGCAATCTCTTTCCAAATGGTGGATGGACCCACACACTCGACAACACCCGCCCTTCGAGTAGATTCCCTTTGGGTTTTCGGGACACATGTTCGAGAGGTGTCCTGTCTTTCCACACAAGAAGCATGAAGTAAACTCAAGCCGTCTTTTACGAGGTACAGGACACTTTGCTAAGATGTGTCCCGGCATCCCACAATTGAAACAAACTTGCTCTGCGTCTTTACCCTTATTCAAAGGGCAGTTTTTAAGACTATGCCCGAGCTTACCACATCGATAGCACTGCGTCCGCTCCTTTGGCTTACTCGAGTCTCGCTTTTTCTTCTCGGGTTTCTTCTCTGTCTCATTCTCTTTGTTGTCGTCTTTTTGTGTTTCGCCCTCGCAGGCTTGTGGCTCTTGTTCTTTTATGGGCTCCTCCTTAGGCTCCGATTCGACATCGTTGTCCCAATCATCCATTTTCTGATTTTATTTTTTTTAGGTTTGAAAAAGGGTTTGGTCCAACTCGTTCCACATGAGTTCATCAAGCAGCGATGAAAGTCATAATGCTGATACTGATTTTTCGAACAGCCAGAACGAGGGGTCTGACAAAGAAAGCATTGACGATGACGTTGAAAATATGAGCGAAGAGAGCAAAGATGACGAAAATAGTGAAGGAGAATCTGAAATGTCCGATGCGGATTCGGAAAATCAAGATCAAAACGACGGAACGAGTGGGTCTGAAATGGACGAAAAAGAAGGTTCCGATGATTCTATATCTCAAGGTGACGGAACGACGGAAGAGAAGAGCGAAGAAGTTGAGAGTCAAAAACCGAAGAAAAAGAAAAATACAAAAAAGGCGGAGCCCAAACCAGAAGATGTAACAACTTTGACAGTCGAAAATCTACCTCAAGCCATGAGTGACAGTCGATTCAATTTCACGTTTTCACATTTCAAGCCGATCAGCTCTGTTTTGGCAAAATCAGACAAAGGTGGGAGGTGTATTGGTATTGGGTACTTGGTCTTCCCGTGCAAAGAAGCAGCGCAAGCCTGCGAAGAGATGATGGATGGGACTGAGATTGAAGGGAAAAAGATAATGATATACACCGAAGAGGAAGAGGCCATTATGGCACACGAAGCGAAGATGATGGGCAAAAAGAAGTACGTTGAACAAAACCAAGAGGCGCTCGAGAGGTACAAACAATTGAAGAACAGACTCCAAAAGCGCAGAAGAGCTGTGAATGAAGAATTACAGAAACTTGACAAGATGTGTGAAACTATGACAGACGACGAGAGGAATAAGTTCTTGCTTGAACAGCTTGAGCAACGGAGAATACAAAAAGAGAATTCATCGGTTGGGATGTATAAGAAAAAGGCGATGGACATATTGAGAAAACGTCAAAAAAAGCGTGAGAAAAAAGAGATGCAAAAGAAAGAACTTGAACGGGAGGAGATCGAGAAACAAAAGAAAGCCAAACTCAACGAGGTCAAACAAAAGAGAGAGGAGAAAGCGGAAATCAACGAGAAAGAAGCGCAAGTATTACAAACAGGTGGGAGTAAAAAGGTAAAAAAGTGCTTTGTGTGTGGGAAAGAAGGCCACTATGCTTCAAGATGCCCACTTAATACGAAAGAAAAAGTGAACAAAGCAAAGATTAGAAGAAAAGAAGAGCAAGAAGAGAAACGTAAGCTTCAAGAGAAAGAACAACAACGGAAGGAGAAACGCAAGCAATATTTGAAAGGTGTTGTCGAGAAATACAAAGCTCAACGGCAGGAAAGAAAAGAGCGAAGAGAGAAGAAACACGAGAAGTATGGGCGGACAAAAAGAAATTCTTTAGATTGAGTGGTTAACTGTTCTATATTATATTTACTGATATGATAAAAGTTTTATCAAATACGTATAGTTTTTAGTTTTGACTTTTAACAATCGACTTAAATTCAAAGAAGTAAAAGACCCAAATTTACTGGATGAAACAAGTGTGGTGTTAAAGTCAAAAGAAAAAGGAAAAGAATCCCAGAAAGGCAAATGGACCACGACAAACAAGAGGACGTGTTATCATTTATCATCGAGAAGTACTTACAGAACGAAGTCACGAACACCCACGCACTTCTGTTGTTGAAAGCACTCCATGACTTTCCTATAGAAGTCTCCCCACACTTCCAACGGCTTGTCCACGAATCGTGTAGAAGAGGGAACATGGAAACGACGAAGTATTTGCTTGAGACGTATCCACAGTCGTTGGAGTTACAAACCCCCAAAGGCGAGACACCGCTTTTTACTGCAATGCAAAACTCGAAATATGATATAGTCGAGACTTTGTTGGACGCAAAGGCCGATTTAAAACATAAATTGCCGAATGGAGACACCATCCTTCACGTGTTGTCTCTGAACTCAAGATCACAGAAGAAAGTCGACATGCTCGAGAGGATCAACACATTAGAGCCATTGATGATTAAAGAAAAGAATATTATAGGCGAAACTATTTTGCACTTGGGTGCAAGTGTCGGGGACTTCGATTATGTCAAAAAGGTTATTGAGCTCAATGGGGACGTGTTGGACGAAACATATTATGGGAGGGATGTCCTGCAATTTGCAATTGGAAGCGGCAATATTCAACTTGAAAATTACATCAAAGGAGTCATTCGAAATATCCCAGAATACGCCAAATTCCACGTAGTCAGTCGGAAGAAGTTTGTGGTTGTGTGCGTCTGCGTTTTTGTGTTCTGGATTATCTATTACAAGTTCATTAAAGGGATCATCGAGGTGTGAGGATTTAATTTGTTGTTTATAACATTCGAACTTGGAAGTCCAAATTATTAATTAAATTAAACCCCATAATTTCTTATTTATATCAAATTTGAAAAAAATAAAACATTGATAAAAAACACTTCGAAATGATGAGTGAAATATAATTTCCAATTCACGGTTTCATGCTGAATTTGATGATAAATTGGACTCTGATCTTTTTATTCTATTATATTATCAATTATAGGCTTAATAGCATAATCTTTTGTATAATTAATAATTAATAATAATTAATAATAATTAATACTTTATTATTAATTGTATAATTTCGAATTAAAATATTAGTAATAATTACTAATTTAGATTTATTATTATTTAGTAAATCATTTAACTATATTTATCATAATTTTTAAATAATTTAAATAATTATTGCAATAATAATCAAATACTTGATTTATTTGGTTCTAAATTAATTATATTATATGGTTTTTGTTTTAAATATAATTTACTTTGGTTAAAACCAAAACCTCAAAAAAATACTCCTTTTTTTGGTCAAAAATAAAAAATATGTATATATTAACGATCATTTTATTATTTATTAATTGTTATTTAACGAGTAAATTATTTATACTATTACAAAATCTAATTAACATAATTAACAAATTTAAAAGAAAAATCAATTCGTTAATTTTTTAAATTATAAATAAAAACAACTCGTTAATACCAACAGCCTTCAAATATATTTTTAATTTAATTTCAGTGACTTCTTGATCTTCAAAAATTCAATTACTGGATGGACCATCTTTTCCGTCGCTCATGTCGTCAATTTGAACCGACTGCCATAGAACAGGACAAAATAAAAGCCATAGTCAAAGCTGGCCAATTTGCCCCAACAGGCCGTAACAACCAAGAAATAACTTTTCATGTTATTACCGATCAAGCCCTTCTTCAAAAAACAGTTTCTGCAACACAAGACGCAATGAGTAAAATACCCGAACACGCCGCTATGGCTTCCAATGCAATTACTTACAAAGCACCCCTTGTCATTACTATGACTTCCAAAAAGGAGTTCTCAAAATGGTCACAATATGACTGCGGATTTGCTGCACAAAATATGATCATTGCCGCAGACCTCCTTGGCTTGGGGGCACTCCCAATTGGTATCATGAAAAGAGCGCCACAGCCCTGGGAACATCTGGTCGGTCTTAAAGAAGACGAGGATCTCCTTCTCTCTGTTGCGTTTGGATATCCCGTCGACAAACTGAATTATGGAAACAAAGAAATACGAAGTCAAGTAATTTATTATAAGTGAGATCATTCAGTGCGTACATTTCTATGGTTTTTTTATTATGGTGTAAAGAACGCGTCGAGCTTCCCAGACCACCTCGAGTAGATGTCAAACTTGAATTCAGTCTCGCCATAATTGATGTGAAATGTGGTGAAGACAGACATCGAAATACCACTGCTAACACTGGGAATATCAAATACTTGGTGATACACAAGTTTACCATTATATGTGAAAAACACGACTTTGGTTGTGGGATAATAACCACAACCAATAACTTCATTTTGATCATCTTGTTGAGCATAGGGAATAACTTGTGTTACTGGAGTATATAACCCATTGTGTATACATCCACTCGAAGAGTGATAACCTATACTATTGTCTATGAATCCAATATGTTCCTTTGTGTAATTCATATGCTTATTGTGTTGTTGAGTAAAGAAAGAACAAACATTACTTGTTGAAATTAATTCATTTGAATCGAAAATTCCGATTGACATCTCAGATTTGTGTTTTATAATCACTTCGTAATAATATATATTACACGTGATGATATTCACCTTTCCTTTCTTTGTATAAACAAAGTGAATATTATTTGGTTTATTACAAAAATTGGTTGATGTGATGTAAGAAATACGGTCAAAAAAGTTAAATGGTCGGACACTTTTAACAATTCCATTCATTACCTTTACTTGCTTTGTTTCACTGTACATTTTATTAATCCCTTAATGTGAGTATTAACAACTACATTTTTTAATAAATAATTTAAATATTATAATTGTGTTACACATATTGTATGTACAAACAGTTGTATTTCTCTGGATTGTTTATTGCGATCATTTGATTAAACGAATTGGATGGGTACTCCATTACAAGGTTAGTTAAAAGGTGAAATTTGTCAACTGAAACACCACAAAATTCAAAAGGTGAAATATCAGTTGTGTCATCTTCTAAAACTCGATTAAAATGAAGTAATGAACAATTTTCAATCCTTGTGAAAGTGTTTACAAAAGATGTAGATTTAAACGTACATTTTTTGGAAGACAGGATTGTCACTGTTTGAATGTTATCAATATGAGCATTGATTAAGATATTACACGAGTTTTTAATATCAATGCACTGCACTTGTGCATTTGTAGCAATAATTTTCATATTACAACATTTATCAAAATTGCAACTGTTGAGCACTTTGGTGTTTGTCATAGTGATTGTTATGCTGTTACAATGTAAAAATGAAGTCTTAGTAAGACAATTAAAATTATCAGACGTGTTGATCATTGAAGAAAACAAGATCCTCAAAGTTTTCACCATTCCATATCTGAACGGGAACTCTATCTGTTTATTGTTACTCATATTCATCGTTTTTAAAGTCACTTTTTCCACAAAATGAGGCACTTCACAAATAGTGTAATTCTCTTCTTTTAACACGTCCGCAGTCTCTTTATTTTGTGAAGACAATTCAATAGCTGGGGCGTATGTCTTTTCTATTAACGACTCAAACCTTTTACAGTCAAAGCAGTCAACAACTTTAACTTTAAAATTGACCATAACAATGTTTTCCGTGTTATTGTCGCATTGAGTGCCATTGAGTGTGTTATAGTAATAATCGACACCTTTAAAATCATCCAACTCCTCTCTTGTTTTTGGCAACATATTTCCTTTCACTATGATTTTGATATCACCAGTTGATGGTAAGTACTTCTTTAATAATTTAATAGCTGTGCGTTGTCTTAAGAACGTGTCATCATATTGTGCAATTAACTCTATTCTCGAGGGGAAATGCTTATTACATTCTTTTCCATCTGATGTGTATTCTTTAAAAAAGTCAATGACACCAGCATAGTGCCCTTTCACTCTGTGAAGGGAAGTTAGCAACTTCGAATGTTGAATGAAAAAAATGCAAGTTGGAGATTTGCATTCAAAGTTTGAATTTAAATCAATTGAGTACACTTGAGGAAGGATGTGAAGGAGTTCTTTTTCATGTTTTTCACTATAAGAATCAAAATTTGGTGAACGTATATTTGAAC